AGTTCTATCAGGGCTCCCCTGCGGTCACCAACTAACTTGCGGTAAAACCGGGAATGGGATGGTTGGCAGATCGATATAATTGCATAGACTGTTCTGTTGTATTTCATCGCCCTCTAATTTTATTAGCCGGACAGAAATAGCCAGCGGAGACCTGGTGAAATAACAAAAAACAATACTCCGTAATCCAAACAACTATTTCATACACATTATTTCCGGTTTACCCTGCAGTCTGCTGCCACACGACAGTTCGACCATCCTGAATGTTGAATGTTGAACTTTGAATTAGGAATCAACATCACAGCACTTATGATACTTCCAGAAGTGCTCCATCCCCATTTTCAGCAGCAAGCGAAGAGTACCAATTCTGATTGACCCCGTCTGATTCTATATCCGTCTCAGCGTTCCCCCGAGTGATGATCGTCGGCCACATCCCCTGGTAACTCCCCGCAGCGCCATTCTCCTCAGACCGTATTTATCAATCAGCGCATCTGCACTGTTCACTCGTTTCAAAAAGCCCTCACAATATCTAGCTTGTCATACATCAATTCTCCACCAAGTGGTGCAGAACCAGCCAGTCTATCTGCCTGCTTATTTCCCAAAACACTGTCATGACCTGGAGAAAATATCCAAAGTATGCTAACTACCTAGGACCTCTGAAGTGATGCATGCCACTGTGCACGAAGCACGCCTGTTTTCACCTTTCTCAGCATGCTCTGTGAGTCAGATAAAATTACAGCATGTGTCTACAGCTGATTCTCAAGTCAGCGAAAGGCAGCAGTGACTGCCTCCACCTCCATTCTCAAACTAGACGTTGTGATTTCACATGCAAGGCTTTGCCGCACTAAGCTGCGTCCATCCGACTTTGCTATGAACCCCCATGTACTTCGTCTGCCCCCAACACAAAGCCATCTGTGTAGATGATTATATCACCTGGGCGGAAATTGTCATAAATCATTTGTTGAACTTCTAATCTGCAGCACCAACTGGCCAGTCTCTGTTTATGACCCTTACCTCTACCCAGGGCTTGAAGCAGGAGGTGCTTCTTGTCTGCAGCTACTCTGAAATATGATTTTGCCTGCAGAACTTTGAGCCTGTCTGCAATAGTAGGCAGTGTAAGTATCTATCGCATACATACTACCAGGGTATCTCTTTTACATCCCAAAATTACCTGCATGGCTTCATTCTGTATGCGTTCGAGATTTACCAGCTGACTCTTTGGTGTGGTAAGCATGCCAAGTCCGTAATCTATCACCGACAGGATCACATGCTGGAACATTGTGAACAGTATTCTTTGTTCCTGGTCCATTGCTGCCATAATCTTGAAAGCATTGAGTCCTTTTTTGTCATGTTATCGCCACTGCCTCCACGTGTTTTAAATGGGACAGGCTTCTATTGAAAGTGATACCCAGGTACATCAGTTTGTTTTCTTGAATGCAGATATTACAATATCATATCTGACTCTATTGTAGGCATCTTCAAGATCAAGTGCTGCCACAACTATCTCCTGTCTGTTCTGGAACCCTTCATAAACATAAGAAGCAGAAGTAGCTGCATTAGACCAATTATCTTTCCGTGGCCGGTAACTAACCAAACCTTTTGGCAGCAGTTCTTCCCTTGACCACCCGGAGATTACAAAATATCAATCTTGATGGCAAGACAACAGGACAAAATTCATATACCTCATTCAAATTTAACTGGAAACCTGGCAGCGGTCACCCCATCCTGGTGCAACCTCCAGTACTGCATGTGTGAGTACGGCTGGATGCTTAACCTTCAGATGTCAACCTGGATATATTGAAATAGAGTTAATTTTTTTTTCTAAACATTTCCTAAAGAATTTGCAGCCTTCTGTAAGTCGACATGTTTCTCTGTTTTGCACATTTTGGACGCACTTGCAGTAAAGCTTTAGCATCAATTTTATCAACCCCACATTTTCATTTACCAGTATTTTTTTATTTTTATCTTCGTTTAATGAAACAAGTGTTGTTTGCTGTGTCCCGTGCAGAGTCTGAATATTGATGCATGTCCATTTGTAGGATCCAGTAATATTTACGCATTTGTCATGACCCAGATAATGTGACTGCTTCTCGGATTTGCGAATGCTTCTTATAAATATCTTGTCCTCATCATAGATTATCTTTATGTAACGCTAAAGTAGCCTCGCACCTCATTCACCAGTCAGTCGCTCCATATCAAGTTGTGTGCAAAACTGTGCTATCAAACCAATGCCTATTCATGCTAACCCTCAGAATCACCGAGGTGTTTCAAAGACAAAGGTCACATTAAGTCTAGATATTTGTGATCAGGTGCGTGATGGCCAACGCTGACCGCAAACAAAGCCGAAAACTTGTGCAAGCGAAGACGCAAGGGGCTGGAGATACGAACGAGTCAAAGCCTAAGGTCTTGGCTCCCAGGTCGACCCAGCCTTGAGTGGGTACCGGGTGCGGTCCCGGGAAAGTGAAGGCGGCGGGCGTGATACTGACCACATCACCCATCTTGTGCCGATTGGTTTATAAAAATATAGGTCTAGCCCTATATGCCCTATACGCCTTAAGGCGTGGAAAAGGGTCCTTTACTTTACTTTTTACAAAGCCTATGGTTATCTCGAGGTCAGTTGCGTACCAGAAATCGAAAAAGACAGTTGTCGTATTTGAAGCTGTAGTTTCAATGCCGAGTGAATGACTAGTGTTGTCATTTTGTGGAAGCGAACAGTGATCACTGTGTCTGAATAATTGTTGGAATAAACGGACAGAATGTATACAGGAAACTGACAGCCGATGTGTGTTGGTAATCCTAGACAGTTGAAGCAGTGCAAGCGGCAATGTACAAGCATCAGGTTAGATACGTGATGCAGCTTTGTTACGAGGGACCGTAGCTTTGTTACAGGGGACCGTAGCTTTGTTACAGGGGACCGTAGCTTTGTTACAAGGGACCGTAGCTTTGTTACAAGGGACCTTAGCTTCATAACACTAATGAAATGAAACTTTGCACGTCTATCGAGAATCATCTGATCTGCCTATTGGGTTTTCTGTTTTTCTCATAAGGTCCTAATGTCCAACACAGTTTCATCTAAACTTTTCAAGTTTCTTCCTTTGTAGTCAGACCAGTCCTTCCTCTCTGGATCACTTTCTGTCCAGTACCTCACTCGTGTATCTCTAGCCTCCTGTTTCGTATTTGTATAATTTGTGAATCTGACCAGTTGTGCTTGGTGCTATGACTAATCTAGGATTGATCATATCCAGGTATGCGTCAGGCCAAATAAAACAGTATTTAACCTGCTGGACACTGCTTGTCGTCAATATGGTAGTGTTGTGAGCTATCTTATTTCCACAATACTCAGCACACGACTAAGTGTCTAAAGGTATAAATCAAAACACTTGACACAGACTGAATTAGGACTCGACGCTGTTAGCTCCGCCATACATCAGGTTTATTAATACAACACAAGAGGGTATTTACAAGCCCTCACACTGACAATACTTCACGCTCAGATACGCAGACATTGATCCTAATTGGCATTCGAACATAGTCCTAGCTCTTTCTCTCTCCTAACTTGTAGCGACCTCTCCCTGACCACTACAGCTCGTAAGGTCTACAGCGTCCCGCAACTCTGGAATTGCTGAACAGAAGAACCACTGCACATCAGCCTGTCGAAGGACTCCGATGACCGACAAGACTTCTAGCACAAGTCCCCTCTAGCACACAGATCTCGTGGGTATCCCCACAGCTCTGTTTCCATGATGATCTTACGCCTTCCCTGCGCCGTCACTCACAACAGTTACTATTGGAGCGTCCAGTCCCCTTGGCCTCACTTAGCCAGCTGGACTCTACCTTTGACCGTACCGTGACCGAGACCCTCACTCAGACCTCACTGTCTGACGGATGCACGGTACTCTGTCTGTCTGACTCTCACTCTAGTTACTCGCGATCTGACTCGAGAAATACTGACTGACTTGAGAGATACTGACTGACTCCGTGACTCACTACGCTGTCCCAGTATATCCTTGCCAGACCCATGTGGGCGGCAGATGTTACACGAGAGGCACCTCGTGGAGGCCTTCTAAGCTATATGAGAATCACGCTCATGTGGGAGTTCTCAACCTACACGAGAATCACTCATGTGGGTATCTCAGGCTTACACGAGAATCACGCTGGCACGTAGTTCATACTTCTTCCGTGCTTCATGTTAGCCATGCCTCTCAGCCTGCACAGTTAGCCCACGCATCAACTTTTTCGGGCGTTTATGTCCCTTACTTGCCAAAACATTTTTCACTGGTCCCAACATTACCTATCCCTCACCACTTAGGCCAGTGTTGACACTGTTTACTGAATATTTCCTCAAACTTCCGGAAATAACTATCATGCAACTTTGTCCCTTCCCACAATATTACAACTCTCTCAAATCCCAACAAGTAGATAGGCGGGCTTGATGTTGTTGATAGTGACTTGTGTTTTCAGTCCCGCAATTGTTAGCCGTTGCGTCTTCTCCCACACATAGACTGAAAGAATATAGTTTCGTCACCCAGCTACTGTGTTGAGAGCAGGACGCGACACTGTGAGCAGCAGATTTTATATTTAGAATTTTTTTCTACTGTGCCCTAGTGGTTTGCGTTGTGAACTGCAGATTGAGAAAATGGTGAGTGAACTGTTGCCAAAAAAACTGGCAGTCCTTTGAACGATTTTATGTGATTAATCACCAGTGCAGATATTTTCTGTTGCAACTGCTGCTACCGTCGACGATAAACTGTATTTCTGGTTCAGGCCTGTTTGTGTTAGCAGTTCTGACGACTGCCCTAAGCACTTAATGCGTGTGTACGCTATTGACTTCAGTAACATATTTTCTGTGTGGTTCTCACTGGAACATGAATGAAGTTATAGGGTGACCCATTTGCTATGAAATTAGAACTGCGATTAACTAAAGAATGGCATTGCTGCAGGCATCAGGGAAGTTAAACCAGTTAGTAATAAACAAGAGATCATTCAGCTGAAGGTATCCACTGTTATACGCCATCCCCAAGAAATCGTGTCTGTGTGACCCGGATGGCGTGGAGCGATGTGTCCCTAGGTTCACCGCTGACGCTCTGTGGCCGACGACAAAAGCTCTGGATGGTCAGTTTGAGAAAGCGCCGACTAGTGGCCATGTAGATGAAAACGTTGCCCACGTGGTGGGAAAGGCTGATTTCTTTGATGATGATTCTTACGGCAGTAAAGTTAAAGTAGGCACGCCATGTGGGCTGAAATAAAAAAAATGTAGGCAGATGTACACCATAACAGCACATGAGGTAATGTAACTAAATAAGGAGATAAGAAGGCAAGAAAGAAAGAAAAGAACAAAAGGAAGAAAGAAAGAAAGAAAGAAAGAAAGAAAGAAAGAAAGAAAGAAAGAAAGAAAGAAAGAAAGAAAGAAAGAAAGAAAGAAAGAAAGAAAGAAAGAAAGAAAGAAAGAAAGAAAGAAAGAAAGAAAACTCTTTATATACCAGGGTTAGGTTAAGACGACAAATCAACATTATAGCACAATTGTGGTAAACCATAAGTGCTCCGTTCTACTTCTAACTCAAGTCTGAGTCCGAAGGGTCTCAGCGCAGTGCAAAAACTCCATAGCACTGGTAAGGATCCTGAAATACTGGGGGTACATTTTTAACTTTTTAAACTCAAAATTTTGCTCGGGCAGCGCCGTTAGGCTACTCTTCTTTTTTATTTCCAACTGCCACATAATTTTTTACGTGCGCAAAAATACACACCGGCATCCCATCTTACTACCCGGAGACCAGAGGAAATTATTAGAAGTCCACGTGAAAAAAAATCTCTCAGCTTCTCGCTATGTGTCGAGACCATGCAACCACCCCCCCCCCCAGCCCCACTCCCCCTCCCTCTAGACCACGCAGCCCCTTCCCCCCACCCCTCGAGACCACGCAGCCCCTCCCCCCACGCCCACTACCCCCTCCCTCGCGACCATGCAGCCCCCACTCCCCCCTCCATCTAGACCACGCAGCCCCTCCCCCCCCTTTTAGACCACGCAGCCCCTTCCCCCCACCCCCACTACCCCCTCCCTCGCGACCATGCAGCCCCCCCCCACCCCACTCCCCCTCCCTCTAGACCACGTAGCCCCTTCCCCCCACCCCTCGAGACCACGCAGCCCCTCCCCCCACCCCCATTACCCCCTCCCTCGCGACCATGCAGCCCCCCCCCCCCCCCCACTCCCCCTCCCTCTAGACCATGCAGCCCCTCCCCCCCCCTCGAGACCACGCAGCCCCTTCCCCCCCCCCCTTGAGACCACGCAGCCCCTTCCCCCACCCTCAAGACCACGCAGCCCCTCCCCCCCCTCGAGACCACGCAGCCTCTTTCCCACTCGCGACCATGCAGCCCTCCCCCCACCCCACTCCCCTCTCCCTCTAGACCACGCAGCCCCTCCCCCACCCCCTCGAGACCACGCAGCCCCTTTATTTACCAATAACGCAATAGACATGTTCTGCTAGACTCATATTTTATAGACTAACCGGCACTCGATGGTTCCTGTAGTTACCATCACGCCGGCCGCATTTACATCCCATGATATTACCTTGTACCCATTTTAGTCGACCTGAGAGTCGAGGTCAGCTTTGATCTGCCCGGATAAGGATTCAGACCCACAACCTTGGGGCTAGCAGGAGAGCTTCCAGCTGCTAGACCACATGGGCTGCACTAAGACAATGTGCAGAATGCCATCTGCTATAGCAGTCAGGCACAGGGGCTGCACTAAGACAATGTACAAAATGCTAGCTGCTATAGCAGTCAGGCACAGGGGCTGCACTAAGACAATGTACAAAATGCTAGCTGCTATAGCAGTCAGGCACAGGGGCTGCCACGGTGAAGCGACAAGACTCTCACCTACGGATCGGAAGGTCGTGGGTTCCGGTCCTGGCGGAGCCGGATTTAAACAAAAATGACCTTGGCTCTTAGGTCGACCCAGCCGTAGGTGGGTACCAGGAAAAAGTTTTGGGAAGTAAAGACGACCAGTGAGATGCTGACCACATAGCCCACCAAGCGCTGATTAGGGAAACGTACCATTTTCACCGCTTTCAGGCGTGTTATGCATATAGGGCTAAACCTAAAAGATTTAGACCAATCGGTTGGTGTTGTCGGTAGCATCACACTGGCCAACTTTACTTCCAGCGACTACCCAGTACCACATAGCTAGTTCTATCACCTCAGTCCGAGGATTTAGGGCCACATGGCTGGTACTACACCTCAGTGTGAGGATTTAAGGCCACATGCCTGGTACTACTACCTTTCCTTAAGGATTTAGGACCAAATGGCTAGTACTATCACCTCAGTCTGAGGATTTAAGGCCACATGGCTAGTACTATCACATTTCCTTAATGATTTATAATCACATGGCTAGAACTGTCACCTTTCCTTAAGGATTTATAACCACATGGCTAGTACTATCACCTTTCCTTAAGGATTAAGAACCACATGGCTAGTACTATCACCCCAGTGTGAGGATTTAAGGCCACATGCCTGGTACTATCACCTTTCCTTAAGGATTTAGGACTACATGGCTAGTACTATCACCTCAGTCTAAGAATTTAGGACCACATGACTGGTACTATCACCTTTCCTTAAGGATTTAGAACCACATGGCTAGTACTATCGCTTCAGTCTAGGCTCGGTAAGATTTTACTTTTGCTCCAAACAAAAGAAACTATATTACCTCACTGATGATTCGAACCTGGGTCCACTGTCTAAGAGTCCGGCGTGTTCAACCAGCAGTGTCCAGATTTTTCAACATTAAACTGACAGTTTTTATTCATTTTGTTAATTGTATTTCTTCATTATGTTTATAGTATTCCTCCATTATATTGATACTCTTCCTTCATTATTTTGAAATTATTCCTCCATTAAGTTGATAGTTAGTACTGTTCATTATGTTGTTTTTCCCCCACATCCACTGTCCCTTTATTTTTCAACATGATTTTTACCAACATTGCTGCACTTGTCCCATCGTTTTAATCAGTCCTCCCGAACCAGCTGCGTGGAACCTGCGTGCTCTGTTTTCTAAACCACATGTTCATTTCACATACAACTTCTGTGTCATTTGCAAAATGTCTCCCGCCAAGGTTGGTTTTCAGTGCACCAAAAAATTTAATCTATAGTGCATTATGTTGTATGCTGAACCATTTGAGCACCCTATTGCAGCTGCTACAAAGTCAATCATAACTCGCCTATCACCTCTAATCATCTCCTCAACTCGCTGCGTGGATGCCTCTATTGCAATCTCAACAGGACGAGCAGATCTGATTTCATCAACAATTTTAGAGCGTCCTTTACAAAAATGTTTAACCCAGCTATACGCCGCTTTACGGGATAGACACTTGTCAGCATAAAGAGGAATCATTTCCTTATGAATGAATGTCCTTTGCAGTCAGCCCTTCATTATGTTGATAGTATTCGTCCATTGTGTTTACATTATTCCTTCATTATGTTGATAGTAATTCTCCGTTATGTAAATAGCATTCTTTTATTATGCTCATATTTTTTCGTTATTATGTTGATTGTATTTCTCTGATTACGTTGCTAATTTCCGTCCGTTACTTTGGTAGTATTCCTCGTTTGCACCATCTCAACTCGCATGCTCCGTTCTTGTGCTGCTATCTTCTCGTTTCCTAGCTTGATGTATAAACTTATTATTACTCATATATTGTTGCTTTGATGCAATCAAAATATTGAAATATGCCTTTTCTTACAGTGTTCCCGTAGTCATCTTGTTCCAGTATCCCAGTGTTTCATTACCTAACGTCAGAAATAGTTTACCTCTTTCTAACAGTTGCATACATCGTTCTTCTTAACTAGCTTCAGTAAAAGCATTCGTTGCCAGTTACTTTGAGTTATGAGTTGGGTTATCTTCACAGCTCTCCGGTCACATACAATGGTGCTCAGCAACCCAACCCCACCCCCCCCCCCCCCCCCCCCCCCCCACCGCCCGCAACATATTCATCAGCGTCGCGCCGTTAATAGTGTCAATCCTGTGCTGGTTTGCTGGTTGATAATTAAGCTTGTTTGGTTTATACAACGGATCAAGATCATGACACAAGGGTGTAGCACATAAGTGCTCCGTTCTAATTTTAACTCAAGCCTGAGTCCGAAGAATCTCATCGCAGTGCACGAACTCCGTTGCACGATAAATACTTTAGGTAGATTTTTTTAAGCCCTAAATATTGTAGGGGAAATTACTAGAAGTCCACGTGAAAATCCCAGCCTTCACAGGGGTTCGAACCGGGGACTCTAGCATTTGAGGCGGACGCCATACCTTGTGACCCCTCAGCCCCCGTAAGCTGGTTGATAAGACTTCGTGTGCGTCCGATGAGCTTTTCATGCTTGGCTGTGCCGATCTTTACTCCCAGTTCTCGTATTCTTAGCAGTGATGTGGACTCGTTGCTTCCAAAATCTTGGAAACGTCCTATCTCTCTAATAGCATTGAAAATGTCTGCATGATCTATGGGTCTGCCAGCTGCAAATAATGCGGAACCTGCCAATTTATCAGATCTTTCCTTGACGACTACACCTGTATACCATGGGACAAATACAAAGGCACACACTGAAGAGTTTTGCAATGACTCGATCCACACTCGGCGCAACGATCTGCCTCTACCCGCCAGATCATGCTCATGGAATCATTCATCACACCATGCGAGAACAGTTCTGTGAGTGTAGCCACATAAAAGCTTGTGTCACCGCAATCTATTCCATCGTCATGCTGCTGGTGGTCATGGAGAAGGCACCGCTGGCTTCTTGAACTGTTCTGCCTGAAGAGCGAGCTGTAAATGTCCATGCACTCTATGTCCTCGTATAACTGACCCGTCTGTGAAGATCACCACATCTGTCTCATCTGACTTGTCACTGATAATCGCACAAACCTCGGCTCGACAGCCACGAGATTCTGCACTCACTCCTATCAAGCGTGACTATACAGGAGAAGATGATACTGAGAGCTTTCTTTGGGCACTGGTATCCATTTCTCGTCAGTGTGGATGTTTGTAACACTGTAGTCCTGCTTGATGTCACCCTCTGCCATACCAAGCCATGATGCTCTTTTATTTTAATCGGTTGTCGTTTTTCTTGAAGAGCATGTGGTGCAAAGGGTGCTTCAGGTCGGAGCTTGTCTTAAAGTATGCCAGTTACTCTGCCAAGGTCTCCGCAACACTCGTCTCATAAACCGCATATGATATTTTTACCGAAGTTTTCTATGTTAGCCATAAAAGGAGTAAATAACAAACATGCGTTGAAATTGAACCAAACTTGAAATGTCATGCTGATTCCTGTCGCGTTTTGCTCAAAGTTGTTGACAGATATAATAACATGCGTTTTCTGTCTCTCTGTCTGTGTGTGTGTGTGTGTGTCTCTCTCTCTCTTTCGCACTCTTGCTTGCTTGCTCTCTCCGTGTTTGTGTGTGTGTGTGTATTGTTTGTTTTTTCCCCTTAAAATGCCAGAAATTCGATAAGGGAGGAGGGACTCAATCGCTGGTCCATCAATTTTAGGATTGAAAATGTTCTTTCTTCTTCTTCTTCTTCTTCTTCTTCTTCTTCTTCTTCTTCTTCTTCTTCTTCTTCTTCTTCTTCTTCTTCTTCTTCTTCTTCTTCTTCTTCTTTTTCTTTTTCTTCTTCTTCTTCTTCTTCTTCTTCTTCTTCTTCTTCTTCTTCTTCTTCTTCTTCTTCTTCTTCTTCTTCTTCTTCTTCTTCTTCTTCTTCTTCTTCTTCTTCTTCTTCTTCTTCTTCTTCTTCTTCTTCTTCTTCTTCTTCTTCTTCTTCTTCTTCTTCTCTTCTTCTTCTTGACGGTGTTGCTGCTTGTGGTGAGTTGTGGTTATATTCAATGTGGTGATGGCGGCAGAAGTGATGGTAGTAGGAAGGTGGTTGTGGCGTTGGTAGTACTAATAGGGGTGGCAAGGATTTGTTGAGTTAGTAGTATTCGATGTTGCTGTAGTTACTGATAATGCTGTAGTATCAGTAGTTCATATACTCAGTGCTTTTGTGGCATCAGTAAAAAGTAGCTATTGATAGAGTTGGTATTGCTCTTGCTGTTGCGTGGATATGCATGGCTATACAAAGTATTAAACCACAAGAGAAGGAAATAGCACAGGGGATAACTTACATCGTGTGCCATATCCTCGATTCGACACGGCATGGGTCCGTAAGGAACGATGTATTGCATGGCATACATGAACGTGTTGGGCAACATGGTAAAGATTAGGTAGAATGACACCCACAGGAGAGTGGCCGTAGATCCTTTGTTACTGGAACTGTATCCTCCGTTGTTTCGACTCGGTTGCGTGGCTTGCAGACTCTCACTTTCAGCCACCAGTGCAGACATGCTAGTGTCATTGACGGCAAAAGGAGCCCGAACATCCCTGGCTATGTTACTAGATCTGCCTATTTTCAATTTCCCTACACTTCTAATCTTATAGATAACCGTCACGTTTAGAAATAACACAATGACAGGAAGTAGAAGAAAAATGAAAAGCTCCGTGCACCAAGTGTATATGGCGAAGAAAGTGGGAGACAGCATAGTTCCTTCAGAAGGACGGAACAGACATTCTCCAACCACGTTGATAATCCAGAAATATCCTTGTGGAATGCTGAGAATAAGGGAGAGGACAAACAAGCAGAAGATTGTCCTGGGTGTTCTGCTCTTGCCGAATCGTTCTGATTTAAAGGGATAACAAACGGAGAGAAATCGTTCCACGGTGAAGGCGAAGACTAGAAACACACAGAAGTACTGGACGGCAATGTTGGCCATAGAGAAGATTTGACACCATCCCTGAACGTCTAGGGTACCTAACAGCCAAGGATTCTCCAGCTCGTAGATGAAGTGAAGGATCAAAAAGGTCAGATCGGCTATAGCTAAACATGTCAGATAGTATGAGACGGTGCTGCAGGTCCTCATTCGAGGACTGGCCCAGACTAAGGCTGAGATAATGTTGCCGAAGAGCCCAATGACGATCCAGATGGGCGTGACGCACTTGCTCACCAGCATTGCCGTGGGAATGTTGTAGTTGAGGTTCTCCACGTGGAAGGAGTACTTGTGAAGTTGTAGTTGTAGGCTGATGCTTGAGTTGATCAGTTCTATGTATGTTGTGTTGTTGCAGGCCATGCTCAGCCCTATAGAGAGAAATACAAATTTACTGCATTTTATACATTTATTCAGCCAATTGCAACGCAAACCAACATAATACACATACTATCCAAGCCTAGCGGTCATATAGTGACTGGCGTACTTGCTTATCGAGAGAATTATATACTTTCAATACCCAGATGTAGCAGCAATGTCTTCTGACCAGTTTAGGGGTTGAGAAAACTCACACACATTGGTATTATTCATCTTCTTTTTAGCGTTATTGACTGAAAACTGGCGGAAAGTTCTCGTTGTGTTTTCTCTCCTGGATCTTGGTTTTGATACACAACTGGATGTGTTTTTATTTGTGCACATCTTTTTATTACAGACCTAGCTTATTTGTGTTCAGACTCTTGGTTCCTTGTCAACTCAGGCAGATACATCTGACTTTGAAGGAAACCCTCTTTGCTGGTTGCTTACTACGACTTTTAAGAGGGACAGGGGGTATATTCTTTGGTCTCCCAAGTAGAGCCGTGGGACTCACACAAGGAAGGCATCAGACGATTCTTTTAGTTTTCTAGGAAGTGTCTTGGATGAAAATGTGACCAACAAAGCTAGCTGCCCCAACACCTGATATCATTGCCCCAACTATGTGACCAGCGAAGCTAGCTGCCCCAACACCTGATATCATTGCCCCAACTATGTGACCAGCGAAGCTAGCTGCCCCAACACCTAAAATCATTGCCCCAATACCTGATATCATTGCCCCAACTATGTGACCAGCAAAGCTAGCTGCCCAAACACCTAAAATCATTGTCCCCAATACCTGATATCATTGCCCCAACACCTGACATCATTGCCCCTACACCTGATATCATTGCCCCAACACCTGATAACATTGCCCCAACTATGTGACCAGCGAAGCTAGCTGCCCCAACACCTGATATCATTGCCCCAACATCTGATATCATTGCCCCAACTATGTGACAAGCGAAGCTAGCTGCCCCAACACCTGATATCATTGCCCCAACACCTGATATCATTGCCCCTACATCTGATATCATTGCCCCAACACCTGATAACATTGCCCCAACTATGTGACCAGCGAAGCTAGCTGCCCCAACACCTGATATCATTGCCCCAACACCTAATATCATTGCCCCAACACATGATAACATTGCCCCTACTATATGACCAGCGAAGCTAGCTGCCCCAACACCTGATATCATTGCCACAACACATGATATCATTGCCCCTACACCTGATATCATTACCCAAACACCTGATAACATTGCCCTAACTATGTGACCATTGAAGCTAGCTGCCCCAACTCCTGATATCATTGCCCCAACACCTAATATCATTGCCCTAACACCTGATATCATTGCCCCAACTCCTGATATCATTGCTCCAACACCTAATATCATTGCCTTAACACCTGATATCATTGCCCCAACACCTGATATCATTGCCCCAACACCTGATATTATTGCCCCAACACCTGATATAATTGCCTCAACACCTGATATCATTGCCCCAACCCCTGATGTAATTGCCCCAACACCTAATATCATTGCCCCAACACCTGATATCATTGCCTCAACACCTGATATCATTGCCTCAACTATGTGACCAGCGAAGCTAGCTGCTCCCAACACCTGATATCATTGCCTCAACACCTGATATCATTACCTCAACACCTGATAGCATTGCCTCAACACCTGATATCATTGCCTCAACACCTGATATCATTGCCTCAACACCTGATAGCATTGCTCCAACACATGATATCATTGCCTCGACACCTGATATCATTGCCTCAACTATGTGACAGCTCAGCTCTTCACGACCCAGTGGCAGTAAGTGTTAAAAGGTTCACTTTACATTGTACCATGTTTTAGGTGTTGGTTTTCTTTTATTTCAACATTCACAGCTTTATGGATCAATGCCACTCAACTCAATTCATATCTATCTGTGCATTAAATAATTACCTAGAATGTTCATAAATAACAATGGAATCAAATGATTGCAGATTCTCCCCATGTGTTTCCAGACCCTATGCCCCCTTCCCCCCCCCCTCTTACCTTTAACAAGCATGTCGTAAAAAGTGACTAATTTTAAATTGTTCCTCCGAATTAGAAGCGCATGTGCCTGAGCGGCTAGGAACCAACAGTCTGCATAACAAAAGCCAGATCTGCGAAACTGATTCCAGTTCTGGAACTAGACTGAAGTCCAGAAGTGGATAAACAACCAGAATTGTCACCCGAGTTTAAGGCCGGTGAATGCTAGGAATAAGAAAACATTTAGATGAAGACATACAGATGAAGAAAGAGGAGGGGAGAAAGAAAAATTTTTTATGATGTTGAATGATGATGATTTCAAAGATAATGATGATGGCGATGATGATGATGATAATGATGATGATGATGGTGATGGTGATGGTGATAACGGTCTCACCCAATTTCGAGTCACACAGACACAAAAAGAAGAAGAAACACACACACACACACACACACACACACACACACACACACACACACACACACACACACAATGTCATATATCTTTTACTTTTCTCCTAGTCTCTAAAATAGGCAACAGCCTCAATCAGACCCAGCCTCCTTTAGACCCAAACTTTATTACAAACGTTGACCAGCAAGACACGGCAAACAACTGCAAACAAATGTATTTATTTGCGGCGAAATGGCTGGCTCTGTCCTCCCAGTTGATGTGATTGCAGCCTCCGAAACTACCGCGGCTTATTCCCTTGTGTGTAGGACTGGTGCAGTGAGCACGTCTAGATGGCGAACCCAGATAATTGTTAATGAAGATGGACAGCTGCAGAATGCTCAAAGCTCGCAAACTGTCCTTGAATTTATCAAAATACCTCGCAAATAAGATTAGACTATGGTGATGAACAGATGCAGCTAGACTGATGAAATAAGTTTATTTAGAATTCTGAACACATTGTGCGGGAAATAGACACATTTGCATACAGAGAGAATTGTGATGTAAATGGGTTAAGAATATTATACATAAACATGAAAGTGGGGCATGCTGCAGTCAAGGCAATAATATAACGAAGTGAATAAAAGCAGAACAAACTACTACTAGAAGCTCCCTCAATAGAGAATAATAAAGTCGCCTACAAACACAACCGATCGTTTTGATCAAAGTCTTGGCAACGGAGAAAACCACAATGAATTATAAGCCAACTGTCGTGGAATGATAAGCCAATACACATCACCCCTATAAGAGGCAGGACCTGTATTACCTGTGCTCGACACAACATTCAAACTTGGACTCGTCCAGGTATATAGTCCCTTATATCGATATATGCCTTTATCGGACATAATTATAATACCTACATCTTCCAGTTGCTTTGACTTAGCGTCATTTTCAAATTTGCAACTATTCGATAAATATTACTGGAGTTATTTGAGGTTTCTTAGAAACCGATTTACTCCTTGCTCATGTATACAAGGAACTCCTTCTTACCAACGCCTGAATTGAATTTTTGCGGCATTATTTCTGCCGGCTTTCCTGGAACTCAGACGTGTCCATCGACGCCAGTACATTTCATTTTAAAAAGGCGGTCTGTGGCGCCTAGGACTTTTCCTATGCTTGGGTAAGTTAATTATAGTTTACGAGTACCTAAAATGATGTCTGTTAAAGTGGTCACTGCTGTAGAGAGATCAGAATCGGCTGTGGGATCACATATAGTTCGACCGTTCTTGATCGCTAGAGAAGCGGATTCGAACTTAGACCTTCTTCTGTACAGACTAAATAGCCTATGCCCTAAATAACCCACACATATGGTAAAACTAATAATCTTACAAGTGTGTACTAATTAAACTAACAACAAAAGTTTGTGCATACAAATGGGGAAAGAGAATTTAATTTAGGTCAGGACTTGGTCAGCCAGTGCGTGAGTGTGTTTGACCCAGATCAATGAATGTGTGGGACTGGTTTGAGAGTCGTAGGGAATAGGGGTACTGACGGTAAATATTGGTGTCTGTGCAGATGGGAGGGGGTAGGGAGATTGATATATGTGTTAGTGTGTCTATTTATCTCCACTATATATCTGACTTTCCATCTCTTGCACTAAACAGACAGATGAATAATAGGAGACAGTGTCTCCTGGTCTTGAGAGTGCACTCTGAGGAATGAAACAGAGGAGCAGAGGTGGAGTAGGCTGTTGTGGGATGGTGACTGATACTTATTCTGTCTTTCCTGTCAAGATGTTACCCTCTTGGTGATGACTAATTCTGAGTTCTTTCTTGGCAGGATGAAACCTATGTGAAGAAAAATCACAGTCCAACCAACCAACCATCAACCTATTACCTACCAATTGTCACCCAACTACCAATTGTGAAGACTGACATCCTCAGGATGGGGTGCTATATACCCCAAACATCCTACAGTGCCAGAGCATGTGTGTAGCTCAGGGACAGTGCTGCGAATGACTAGTGGGAGAGATTTGTTAAGTGCCTATCCAGTTGCTGTGTCCTTTATGGTGAGGTACTCCTCCACCATCTGATCCAGTTGAGGCAGAATTACCAAAGACAGTCGAATCATCAGGAGCTGAGGGAAGCATCAACGATAGAAAGAGGATAAGTGCCAGTTAATGCCATGTTTTGCTATATTCCCCACAGCTCCCATGTTTCCCAAGGATGAAGATGTGTCATCTCCAGATCATTCTGGCTGTTTGGTTGTCTTTGTAATCTGGACATTGTATTCTGGAATCCAGCTATTGAGATCTGGCATCTACTTCACTATTATATATATGTATATGTTGTATTGATTACATGCATTCATTTTCATGGCTGACTTAGGTGTCTCTATTTCACCTTTTTAAGTGTTTAGCATTTGTGTGTGTGTATCAATCTTAAATATATGTGTTAACATGGTTATGATAATGAACTATCATAACCTGGGGGCTTTCTTTAGTAAGTAGTGGGGGTGTCCAGCCAAGTGTGCCTAGGAATAATGTATTCATATACTGAGATATTTTGCAGTGCCAATACTTGAGTTGCCCT